AAAGAAATAATGCTGAAAGGAGCCCAAATAATTCGTACTTGAAGTTCGCCCTGCCCTGCGAGTTAACCGAAAATTAGCAGCTATTATGCAGAGCAAGAACATTCCTTTCTCGGCAACTGCTAAGATAAAGTTCAGCCTAAGCTTGATTTCTGCTACCAGCTATTTGCAGAGGAAATACATGGGATCAGTAAACTTGGCTCAATTTCTCAAAGACAACTATGAAACAGCCTCAACGACGGTTGCTTCACGCTTATTTTACACATAAAGCCATGTTTTTCTCTCCCATTATTGACAGCGCAGTCTTTTGGGGATCTAAAAATCTAGATTTTTTCACCCATGACAAAGAAAGAAGGATTCTTCTGAGATGAACAGTGCTCTACAGCACCAGCATGCTCAAGAAATAATCAGATGTTTCCAATAAAAACAGGCAGCAACGGCACGTCTCATTAACCTAACAGGGCTCTTACAAAGATACTTACTCACTTTTAATTACTACTGCTCCTGGTGTTAGAAGGTAAGAAGGGTTTTAAAAACAAAAGGAGGTAGAGTTTTTATGGAAGATGACACATAAAAATAGTAACAAGGCCACAGGATCAGACAGCAAGGATTACCAGGAAGCCAGCTCACCCAGTGACTTTGTTTCCATTTTAGCTGAAGGCCACTGCACTAAGCAGACAAACAGCAAAGACCTCATTTGAGCAATGCCACTTTTGCCCAGCTGGTATTAGAGGATTTGGTTTTAAATAAAAGGGGAATTAGTGTGAATTAGCCTGAAGGACTGGAGTACAGTGTTGCACACATACCTCCCCTGGCTGTGTCTTTGCATTCCCTCCAGCAAAGCCTCCATCACCAAATCCCAGGGGCGTTAGCAGCTAGAAAGTAAACAGAAAACAGAGGTCACCTAAGGCAACGCAGCAGCAAGTTTTTTTCCTGCAGCCAATCGCTGAACGTACAACAGAAGGCATCAGAAAGTAAGTTTACAAAATTGTATGATACCTGTGCACAAAATGCTGGTGCACAGATACGGGTGAGAACAGTGGCCACCTTCCCGAATTTACAAGTCACACACCTGCTGAATAAAGGTAAATGGATTTTCCTGCGAACACACGTGCTCAGGCCTCCAGCTCCATCAGCGCTGATGATCCAACAGCGTTACCTGCTGAGCAGAAAGGGTGCAGCAAAAGGAACCTGCGCTTCAGCGAGCTGCTCTGCTCAACGCACGAGGACTTCTGGGTGTCCTGAAGAACCCCAGGCCCAAGAGCCATCTCCAGCGGGGGTACTTGTTTTAGAGAAAACTTAAACACCTTGCAAGCAAACAGCAGTGAAAAAACCCTACCCATGAATTTGGTTTCTACTACAAACCAGCTCAAATAGCACACAAAGCTCATGACTGCTTTCGGGACCCGGTGCTGCTTAATACATATATTTTTTCATATAGCACTGCCTTCTCAAAGATGCCTCTGGCCTCTAAAGCTACGAAACAAACCCGCATGGGTCCAGAGCAGCAGTACGCGCCCGTGACGCCACGAGCTCTGCCAAGAGGCGGCTCCTCGGCGCTGGCGGCGGCAAACGGGGCTCTTTGGCACTGAAACAGCGCTTCGGGGGCGCGGGAGCGGGGCGCGACGCGACGCGACGCGACGCGAGGGGCGCGGCGGCAGCGGGGGCCGGTCGCGGCG